TTTAAACACAGAAGAGCTCAACTTCTAATATCTGTAAAAAACCAGAGCGATCCAGCCCTCTGAACTCCTTCAGATGGAAGGAAGTCCAAGTAGGAACTAAGGTGCGCTGCTTGTTGATGCAACCAAATGCTAATTGACGTGAGGGTTTGGCCTGAGGGTATTGGAAGGCTTGGGAAGCAATTATGTCTCAGTCCAGGAAGACTAAGTACTTCTACACACTACAGCCCTCCACCCTTCCTGTAGGGAATCAATGAAGGGCAGGCTCAGGCTGGCTTGAGAGGGTGCTCGTCATCCAGGAGGTGGTCTTGCATCACCTCCCTGGACACTGTCATGTACTAGTGTGGAGATGTTTGATGAGTTAAAGGCCCATTGCTTCCTATCTCCAAGGAGCTTCTGGCAAGGTCAAAGGATGATCTTTCTAGTCCTTAAGTACAAAATTATATAATTTTTTGTCTCTCCCATTTATATTATTCAAGATGAACCTTGAGCTTTCAAACTTGCCTTAAATGCAGTTGGTTTTGACTTTTAAAATTTTTTCGCTTAATACCATCTATTACTAATTTTTTTTTATTTGGGGGTTACTACTAACTGAAAGTGTTCAAGGAATGTGGTTTCATTTGTCCATTCTTGCACTTTCTAGGTTTCGCTTATACCCCAAATATTTACTCTGTTAATTAGGAAATCATTAAATCTAACCTGAGTTGAAAGGGTAGGGTCTAATTGCAAACAAATGCACAACTCCTACTACCGAGTTAATTTAGACCCATAGTGACCCTATAGGACAGTATAGAAATATTCCCTACAATTTTTGAGGCTAAAAATCTTTACAAGTGCAGTCATATCTTTATCCCCAAGAGTATCTAGTGGGTTTGGACTGCTTATATTGTGCTTAGCATAACCAACCCATAACCCCTTTTACCATCAGAACTCTGTAGAGGGTAGGGGTGTAGGACTTCCAAAATGTTGAAGTCCACAAAGAATGTGTGAAAATCCACCCACTGCCATTGAACCAATTTAAGGCAGGGAGAAGCCATCCAAGACAAGCTTGCATATTAAGGAAGGAGACAAAAGTGAAGGATTTGCTCAAGGTCACAGGTCTATTTAGTAGTGGAGTCAGAACCAGAATCCAAGTCTCCTCTTCTTCCCCATTCCAATCTCTCCTCAGTCTGGGAAACTGATGAAAATTACACAGTAGCATAGATTTCTGAGTCAGAATACAGTGACTTTCTCTGTACCCTCTCTTATTGTTAAGTGCTGATTAATAGTGACCTGGTGCACAACAGGACAAAATGCCACCTAGTCCTGCGGTGCAGTTTCCTAAAACTAATGCTTTGGCACAAGATTTCCCATGGCACAGAGGTTAAGTACTCGGGTACTTATTGGAAGGTGGGCATGGTGAACCCACAAGTCACTTCTCAGGAGAAAGATGTCTGCATCTGTAAAGATTAACCCACTGTTAGTGAGTCCATTCTAACTCACTGACTTTCTGTAGAGTTTCCAAGGGGGCAAATCTCTCCAGAAACCAATAGTCTCCTCTGTATCATGCTCAGAATGGTCGAGCTTGTGGTTAGCATTTCAATGTTTACCTGACAGAGCCTTGGACACGCTATTGGAAAGTTCTACCCTGTCCTGTAAGGGCACTAGGAGTTGGAATCCACTCAAAGGCGCAGAACAACAATGTTTTGGCAGTTCCCTTCCCAACTATAAATGATAAGATCGATCAGTCACTTATTAAATGTCTACTATATCCTGACATTATTATACTCACCTTATTGACGGTCTTGTTATCTGACAGTTTGCATTTGTGATGGTAGTAAAAACAATCCACTTTCTGATTCGTCTGTGCATTGACCATATAAGTCTGGCAATAACTAAACAGCAAGGTGTGAGACAAGAGGAATACTCGGTCTGATGATTGCAGTTCCACGTCACCTTGGCTGGGTCATGATTCTCAGAGCAGTGGCAGTTACATTGTGCTGTAATTTGGCAGACATGTGATGATGTGGTCATCCTCCACTTTGGAATCAGATGTGGTCATTCCTCTTTTTCATATATTATTGTTTTTCCAATAACAACCTGGTCTTTGGAACCTCACCAAGTCAGTAAGTGAGAAGAGGATGCACATTATGGTACACTATCAGGGGTCCTAACACAAACCCCCAAAATAGACACTTTGCCATTGAAATATATTTCTGGGTAAAGTTGAATTACCCGGAATTGCTGGGTTTTGTACTACATTTTGGATCTTGTGAAGGAATTTTAGAGTACTCTTAGGTTTTTGTTTTTTAGAATATATACGAATTGTGAGAGACCCTTCTAGTTGTTTCTTCGGTCCATGAAAAAGTCAAACGGAAAGATACATAATATGCTTTTGTGTTCTGAAATTATGTCAATTTGTGTGAAGAGAAGTCAACAGTGAATAAATTACACCTTTCTAATCATATTAAGAGCCCTGGTGAGATAATGGTTGCCTGTTGGGCTGAGATCCAGAAGGTTAGCAGTTTGAAACCTCCAGCCACTTCTCGAGAGAAAGACCAGTCTTACTAATCCCACAAAGAGCAACAGCCTTGGAAACTCACTGGGCCGTTCTCCCTTGTCCTATAGGGTCGCCGAATTCCCATTGACTTGAAACAGTGAGTTTTTTGGGCAGTGGGATGGGGTGGAGTGGGTAGCCATACTGATCCTCCACTCGACTATTCTTGTGTTGTACTTGTGGTGGTTGTGTGTTTCTGTGATGCTGCAAGCTATGCCCCTGCTACCTCAAATACAAGCAAGACCACCTGTGGTGGGGAGGTTTCAGCAGACTAAAACATACCAAGGAGGACTTGGTGATCTGTGTCTGAACAAGAGTACCAGTGTAAATCGTATGAACGTTGTCAGCTAAAGTACCAGAAGATGAGACCCATGGGCTGGAAGGCATTGAAAACAGAACTGGGCAGGGGCCCCTCCTCAAAGTGAGAGCCTTCCTAGGGGACAAAAACACGACACATAGCAACTATGAGACTCAAAACATCTGGCTGGGATATAGGCAGAAGGAAATTAGGCCAAGGGATGGCTAAAATATATCATCCTTCTTGCTTGACACAGAGTGTAGTTATTTCAGTATGTCAAGGTTGGAACTCAGGAGCACTTCTGATGAACTCCTAGAGTTAGAAGCATTCGTTGATGGTTCTTGTCTGTGTTTATGATGTGTTTCTTGGTCCATTGTCCACACCCACAAGGTTTTAAGTAATTGCAACTTGGAAATAGCAGCTAAAGATGGCCACGTGAAGGGAATGGGGAAGAAAGTATGCTAAGTGAGCCAGTAATACGTTCTTGCCACTGCTAACATCAGCAAGTAGAATTCAGCAAGCCAATCCCAAAGAAAGAATATAGCTCAAATGGAGAGACTTTGGCTCTGTAGTGAGTTGCTCCTTCTCACACTGGGTCTTTCTCCCAAAGACATCTATTTTCTACATCTTGGGGGTTTATTGCATCTTTCTCATACAGGCAGTGAGTCTCACACCAGGATCAGGAGGTAGCCAGCTGTAGAGACAGTACTTCTTGCACAAGCCCTGTAAAGTTGGGACTCAGAGACAAAAGGGCTTCTGAGTGATGCAATAGTCCATATACTCAGCTTCTAACTGAAAGGTGGACTAGATGACTTCACCCAGAGGCACCTGGAAGACAGGTCTGGTGATCTTCTGAAAAACCAGCCATTGTAAACCTTGTGGAGTTCAGGTCTACGCTGACACTCAGGGGCTTGCTGCGTGCTAGAACTGACTCCACGGCAACTGGCGGTGTTTTCAAATTGACCACGCCCTTTATTTATACTTCACAAACTCTCTGTACATAGACATCCCGGGACAGCTTTTCTTTGTATAAGAAAATGATCTTAAACTTTAAAGCTTAGCCTAATAGGATAGACTATCTCAAGATCTTTCAAAAAAAGCTAGCATGTCAAAATCACGCTCATACTATTCTTGTTTTAGGGTGATATTAGTTGATATTTTTTACTCATGGCAATTCCGTGTGATACAATAGACTTGCTCCTACTTGCTAAGTTGCTTACACTTGCAAAACTGGCTAAATATTAGATGACTAAGTAAATACATTAGCAAACGAGTAAGCTAATAAATACAGGGATGAACAATATATGAATAAATCAATGTGTTTGCACATATTTTTAGAAAAATGTTGGAGAATTCTTAAGTCATTTATGTGAGCTTTGTGTGCCTTTCTCACAGAATGGCAACTTTTAAGAGACAAAGGCTACATTCATCAATCAGACTAGGGCGTCTATTGGTAGGAACTACACGTCTCACCCACCCCCACCCCCACCCCATGCCCTTTCTGAATGGGAATAACTAGCATGTGTTTCTCATACTTTTGCTAACTAGTCTTGGCTTGCCTTCCCCACTCCTAACCTACAGGATGTGATCTTCCCCTATGGCTAGTTATCAGAATGTCACTAAGCTCTGGTGGGTGGACTTCTGGGCACATCCATATTCAGGCATCACTTCCCTGGAATATTCCCTCCAAACCAATGAATGGATCATGGAACCCACTAGGAGAGGGAAGGAGTAATCAGACTAGGAACCAATGACATGAAGCACCAATTCATTAGAAGAATAAATAGGAGAGGGGCCCAGGGAGCGGGGAATAGGAGACGGGAATGAGCCAAAGCCTGTGCGTAAGCCTCTGGTGCCTCTATTAATCAGTGTGGAATCCCCAAAAGAACCCCATATATTTTTGTTTGTTTGGGGACATGGATAGAGGCACAGTTATGGTCAATGATAGGATAATCATTTGCTTGTGTCTGCTTGGAAGTACATCATGCTGGTGTTTGGCAAAAGCTTAGAGAAAAGGGGATGTGTAGGATGATGAATGTATTGGCAAAACCAAAAATTAAAACACCTTCCAATCCCCAATTGGATCCCAGGAAGGAGGAGGGCAAATAGGGAAGGCACAAAGGGTTACATCAAGTAGTTGGTGGGTCGATGGTAATTCCCAGTTCATCTTTACTTTGGTTTACTCTTCGGGGATTGTTGGACTGGCGGATAGGTCTGCTGGGCTGGAATGGTTTTTGCCTTTGGGCAAGGCTTGTTTCTTGGCCGGAGAAGCACATGGGTCCTTGGTTTGGGGTACAGGCATTTCTTGACATTTGACAGGGGGTGGCTGATAGGGCTGCTTCACCTGCTGCTGCTAGGGCTTCTGGGCTGGGCACTTCTGCGGCTGGGAAGACATTGCTCCAGGAACTTGTGAACCTGAAAGAGAGCATGTATGCCAGGTGTACTTCCGACTCTCCCTCTTGACAAACTTCTCCAAGAGTGCTTTCCTCCATCACTGAAGGACTTGGTATATGACTAGTAGCCTTTGTTGGCTATTTATCGATGTATTCACATGCATCCATTGCCATCTTCCTCCCTCTACTTCTCCCTTCTGTGCAGTGCTCATGTTTTATCCTTCCTCATCCACCCCTGGTTCCCGACTTACAAATGCATAATTTATATCTTAGTCTTACTAGGAAAATAAGGTGGACTACTGAGTCAAGAGTTGGAAAATAACACAGATATTTCACAAGGTGAAGGTGTTCATCTCAACTAATGGATCCGGGCAGTACCAACTAGCTACCCTGACCAACCAGACACAGAGTGTGGATGTGTATAGAGGAACATAAGAAGCAGGAAGGAGCACTCCCTGTCCGAGAGGAAAGTACCATCGTGTTTTAGTGATGGGACTGGAGAAAGCTTGAACCCGGAACTCAGAGGCCTGACATCTAATCCTTGTTTCACCTGACTCACCAGGGTATGCTAAGGCAGGTCCCTCAGTGTGGCTATGGAAGGAACGATGTTCCAACACTCTAGGAAGTGCTGGGGGCTTCAAGAACCAAAGGGATCACCAGGGGCAAAGAACCCAGAGGAAGGTCCTTTGGCAAGAGGAAGCATGGTTCATAGAGAGCACTGGCAAGGGAGCATCCTGGGTTCAAATCCAAGTTTGCCATGTGTCAAAAGGCCTCCGAGACCTCTCCACCTCTGACATGTGTCTCCCTGGCATTTTCTGTAGGCAAGGAGTTGAGGCCTTTGAATTGTGGTCTTGGCATAGGTCTCTTTGAGTAAGAATCGATTCTATGGCAACTAACGACACCCCCTAAATAGAAAACAAAGCAAACAAATCCAAACTTACTGCTTTCATGTGGATTTTGACTCATAGCATCCCTATATGATGGAGTAGAATGCCCCTGGGGGGTTCTGAGGCTGTAAAGCTTCATGGGAGGCAAAAGCCTCATCTTTCTTTCAAAGCACTGGCTTATGGTTAGTAGCCCAAAGCATAACCTACTCTATCATCAGGTCTCCTAACAAAATCATAGGCCCCGGGAAGGGGGGAGGTGGCCCTTGGAAGAGTGAAGCCGCAAATAAAAAAAAAAAAGAAGTTCCTCTATCTGTTTTTGGAAAGCCAAAAAGAGTTGGACAGAGCTTTCCTATCACAACCAGGCCAGGGCATGAGAAAACTTGAGAGGAAGATCGGAGCTACTACAAAATCCCACAGCTCTTAATATGCCCCGTAGTGAGAAAAATCTTCCTACCAACAAGGCAAGCTCAGAACCAGGAAATTAGTCAGACCTAGCACCAGTGCAGACTGGAGACTGAATTTCCTAAGTAGCAATTAGTGTGCCCTCATCTTAATGGTCAGGAAGGGTATGCCACTTCTTCCATTGCTCAAGAAGAGGAGAGGAACTTGGCCTAGCGGTTCAAGGTGGCTCAGAAGATCAAAAAGCCCATTAGGTAGGCGCAAGAGAATGGGTTTGTTTCCGCTTACCAGTCACTGAGCTGGACCTTAGGCTAGGACGATGAGTGCAGGTCTGGGACATCTACTTCTGGAATCCTTTAGAAGGGCTTCCCACCTGCCACAGGTGCCTGGTGTGGCTCTGATGACCTCCTCTCAAAGAATTCCTCACCCACTTCTGACACCTGCACTTCCTCCCAGGAGCTTGATTTACAAGCCCGTTCTGAGTCTTTGTCTTTCTGAATTGCCTTACCCCACCTCCATTGTTTTCTCAAAGTCAAGTACTCAAGGTCATTTACCCACAGAACAAAGCTGAGAAGCGGTTTTCAGACTGTAACTTATAAAACACATTGAAGAAGGTTGAGGGAGAAGGAAAGTGTGGGGCTTGATGGTGTGGTGAAAATGTGAACCTCCTTTGCTGTCAACTCCTGTCCTTTAGTGAACTTGCCACAGGTCGTACACCTAATGTACCTTATTTCAGTGTACCTTCACATGGTCTCACTCTTGCCATTTTTCAGATTTCCGTTGAGCAAATGAGGCTGAGAAAGTTCACACAGGTAGCAAAGAGCAGAGGTGCAATTTAATCTGAGTAAGCCAAAGAGCCCTGACCCTAAAACATTATAAGTAGAAGTCAAAAGGGTAGCAACAGAACCCCGACTTTGCTACACAGGGAAAGCTGTTTCTGTTTCTCATGTGAACCATTGACATGATATTTTACGAGACTTCCCCTTAAGCAGGAACAGAAGGTAACTGGAATGATGTCCCAAGCCTAAACAACATGATGCTGCTGTGTCCCTTCTGCCTACTAGGAGGTGGGCAACTGGTGGGTGTTAGTGGTGGGCGGAGAGGATGAGATAGAATTTGGCTTCTGGGTTAGGCTTGCCAGATAAAATGAAATACACCCATTTGAATTTCAGATAAACAACAACAACAACACAGAATAAGTAGATACGACATATTACATGAGACTTTTTTATACTAAAAAAAGTAATGTCATCTGAAACTCATATTCAATTGGACAGCTTTTAAAAACAGTGTTATTGATACATATCATATACCATACTTTAAAAAAATCATTTTATTGGGGGCTCTTACAACTCTTATCACAATCCATACATCCATCTATTGTGTCAAGCATATCTGTACATACGTTGCCATCATCATTTTCAAAACATTTTCTTACTAGCTAAGCCCTTGGTATCAGCTCCTCATTTTTTCCCCTCCGTCTCCAGCCCTCCCTTCCTCATTGTCAATGTTACAACCACAAATACTTTTAGACTCTTTTCTTCATTTCTGGATTCATTGTTATTAGCTCTTCATTTGTTCCCAACAACTCTTGTAATAGCCCTAAGAAACTATGAATCTAGTTATAGCCCTATAGATTTACTTCTCCTGAATTTCATATAAAGAAATGCATACCAAATAAATAAATAAACACCACAACAATAGCAAAATAAAACAGAAAAACCTCAGTCTACAGGAAAGCAGAAAATAGTGTAAAAATAGGACAACTTAAGCATCAGTCAAAAGGGAAAATGAGATAAGGTGTGAAAATGTAACTGAACCCCATGTGCACCAGGAGCCCTAGCAGCACAATGGCTCACTGGATAGGCCATGCTAAAGGCCAGGATAAATAGTTGAACCCAAAGTCGCTCTGAGAGTGACCTACCTCTGGACCACGACCCTAAACCTCAGAGTCCTGCCTAACTGGAGGCTCCTCTGTGCTCAATTTTGTCATTGTCAGAGCAAAGAGTACGGCTGCCTCCAAATGGCATGGAGGCCTCATGCATGCATTATGACCTTTGTTTCATTTCATTGTCATGACAGTTCTGCCAGATCATTCAAATGTGATTCTACAGCTTTAAGAACTCAGTCCAAAGACTCCCACTGACGACCTAACAGCACAAATGAGTGGGGGTGGAGTTGTTCGGGGGCCCCAGATCAGGGCCTTTTCCCACTACCTCACAGTGACTGACATCTCTACAGAGAACACGTGACTGTCCCTGGGTGGGGACCACACACATTCTCTTCTCTGAGCTGTCTATCATAAGAAAGAACTTTTGTGTGGAAAATTCCCATTGCCTTTGAATCCCATTTCTCCATTAACTTTTTGAACTCTACGTCACTCCCATGTCTAGACCCAATAGTGCTCATTTTTAAGGGTCAGCTATTTCAAAAGTTAACACTTCCCCAAGATTTCCCCTTCCGATCTCCTCCCTCAACATCTCCCAAACCTTCCTACTGTGTCAATGAATGCACAACTCTGCTTTCCAACGTCTCCATTCGGTCACCAAGCCCAGCACCTGGTCACCTGTGTGCTTCCCTTCCACTGTCCCCATATTCTCATTTTAATATGACCTCGCCAAGGAAAAGAGGAAGCAAGGACAAGTTGAATGAAAACATTTTCATAAACCCGGGACCTAGAAGTTACTATTATACTATTGTGTGTGTTTTTCTGTTCATTTACGACACTCGCGTGTGTGTGTGTGTGTGTGTGTTGTGTATAAACAGAAAAACAGAGAATGGAGAGGATGCCTGGTGGTGTACACGCTGCGGGTTACATGTCGGCTGTGAAGTGCAAGGGCAGCAGTTCGAAAGCACCAGCTGCTTCTCCGGAGGAAGAGGAGACTTTCTACTCCACCAAGACTTAGAGTCTCAGAACCCGCGGGGAGTTTCTATGGCATGGCCTCCATGGCAGTGAGTTCCGGTTGATATCATTGGCCACGTCGTTCCATCCCTTCGTGTCATCTGCAGTCGTTTCTCTGAAATAACAAATGAATCCTCCTTTCCTCGATGTCCTAACTTTTCACTTTGTCAGTAAATCACCTGTGCTTCTTACTTTGCCAATAATGGTGTGGGGGCCAAAAAACCCTGTAGTGATACACCTCCACTTGTAAAACAAGCCTCATCTCCGAGAAAGTGCCCTGAGCGACAAGGACAGAGACCTACATGCAGTTGGTCTTTTTTCTTTCTTTTGATCTTTTTTTTTTAATCATTTAATTAGGGGCTCATACAACTCTTATCACAATCCATACACACATCAATTGTGTAAAGTACATTTGTACATTCATTGCCCTCATCAAACTGTCAGTCTTTCAATTAGCAGCCAGGCAATTTCATGGTTTTCGCCATCTAAACAC